CCATGAGGTCACGAAGAGTCGGAGACGACTGAACGAATGAACAACAACAATAAACTAGAGCACTGGTTCTCAACCCTAACCCTACAACTCCCAGAAATCCCAGCCAGTTTACCAGCTGTTAGGATTTCTGGGAGCTAAAGGCATCTGGAGGCCTACAGGTTAAGAACAACTGAACTAGAGCTAATGCAGTCTATCCAATGCAGTTTTCTGAATCAGCTCCACAAATAACCCCAGGAACAGACCTAAAAACCAAGACACCAGGAATTGTTTTTACCCTGGGGATGTTTTTGCTAAAAGTGCATCTACACTATAGAATTAATGCAGTTTGATAACACTTTTAAACTGCCATGGCTTAATGCTATGGAGTCCTGAGGTTTTCAGTTTGATGAAGTACCAGTGCACTTTGGCAGAGAAGGCTAAAGACCTTGTGAAACCACAACTCCGACAATTCCATAGAAGTGAGCCATGACAGCTAAAGTGGCATCAAATGGAATCAATTCTACAGTTTAGATGCACCCTAGGATTCTGCATTTAAAGTCTTCAGACAAAACCTTCTGTTTCTCCTCTGAAATTCAGTGGGCTAATCCTGCATTCATAGTCTGGCAGCTCAGTCCAGTCAACACACCCCGGCTCCATCACCAAGGCAATGAAAGGGCTGCCATAGTAACTGAATTACTCATCATCATCTGGATTTCATCGCAAGCAGACGGTTGCATTTCTCCAAAGGAAAATAAAACAGCTATTCTTCGCGACACCACCTTGTCTATTGTTTCAGTTAACGTATTTTGTGGTGGGTCCCAGCCTTCTGTTATTCAATGCATTTTTACTCAGAAGTCCCATTTGGGTATCTGTGGTACTTATTCCTACTGATGTGTCAAAGCAGGATTTACAAGCACAAAGAGGTGGATCAATATATACCAGGCCTGGGGGCCTCTAAGTGTTTTGGACTTCCACAATTCCTAACAATCTACCGACCACACATACATGCTTTGGATCACATTGGGAAGGGTTAACACCCCTGTGCTGTTAGTTTTTTCTGTCTGTTCCCCTCTTCAGAAGATTTCACTTCACTTTCTATTCCTGTGATAATGGGATTTTTGAAAATTTTATGTTGTTGTGGAAACAAGGATTGCTAAGAAAACTTCAGTAGAGACATCTTCCCCCAATGATAACTCTTTCAAGAGTGAATTTCCCTTCCAAGGGAGACATTTCTCTCACTTCCTGTTGTCCCACCCCCATTCTTAACTGTGAGTTGTTCATTAGTTGGATGCTTGTCATGCCATATCATGTGTATATATATCCATATATTATATATTATCACCACTTATTATATATTATCCATATATTATTATATATAGATATGTGCATATGTTGGAAATTGCTTTGAGTCCCATCCCCCCCGCCCACGGGTAAGAAAAAGTGGTATATAAATGAAGTAAATACATAAATAAATATGAATTACATATGCCCTATTCATTTTGAGTGACATCATAATTCAAAACCACTGGACTAATTGCCACCAAATTAGTAACCATCACTAAAAATTTATTTTGTCATTTGGGAGTTGTAGTTTCTGAGATTTATAGTTAACCTACAATCAAAGAGCGTTCTGAACTCCACCAATGATGGAATTGAACCAAACGTGGCACACAAGACTCTCATGACCAACAGAAAACACTAGAAGCATTTGCTGGGTATTGACTTTGAGTTTTGGAGTTGTAGTTCACCTACATCCAGCGATCACTGTGGACTCAAGCAATGATGGATCTGGACCAAACTTGGCACAGATACTCCATATGCCCAAATATGAACACAGATGGAGTGTGTATATATTTGTGTATATGTGTGTTTGCATATGTGTGTGTGTGTGTGATTTTGTGCATGCATTGTAATGTAATTTTTGGTTTTTTTGGCTTCTAAAGTCTCTTCCGCTGCGTTTTTTCAGAGTTTTTATGAGTGATGGTCACTCATTGACCTGATAGGTGTATTGTGTCCAAATTTGGTGTCAATTCGTCAAGTGGTTTTGGAGTGGTTTTGGAGTTATGTTAATCCCACAAAAGAACATTACATTTTTTATTTATATAGATTATCACATATAATATATTATTATATATAGATATGTGAATATGTTGGAAATTGCTTTTAGTCCCTCCTGGGGTGAGAAAAAATGGTATATAAATAAAGTTAATAAATAAATAAATAAATAAATATAGATAATATATCATATAATATAATATTATATGATATACTAGCCATTCCCTGCCACGCATTGCTGTGGCCCAATCTGTGTATATGTGTTTTGTGTATGTATATATATGTGTGTGTATTTGTGTATCAGCAAACTTGGGCCCTCCAGGTGTTTTGGACCTCAACTCCCACAATTCCTGCCAATTGTGGCAGTTGAATTCCAAAACACCTGGAGGGCCCAAGTTGGCCCGCGCCTGGTCTACATGTACACACACACACACACACACCTGGAAACCCTTGTAAACTGAGTATTGTAAGACAACAAATCCCAAAATCTCCTAGCATTGAGCCACAACAGTTAAAGTGGTGCCAAAGCCTTTGAAGAGTGACCATTTATCCCATTTCTGTTTGCTCCATCTATAGTGTTGCTCCTATGATGCACTTCCCCCGTCCTAAACCCGAAAGCCTAACCCACTGTTTATCCTTTTTGGGCTCCCCTCAATTACATGTTTTCTATTCCTACCTCATCCAGGGTTTTATCTTTTTACCTCATCCATTTGGCCTGCCCATTCTGTTCGTTTTTATATTGTGTTAATTTGCTTTATTTATTTTATTTTGCTACTGTATGTATTTTATTCTGATGTAATTTTTCATTGTCTACATTCTGTATTTTATTTTGCTGTATTGCATCCTTGGGCTTGGCCTCATGTTAGCCGCCCCAAGTCCCCTTTGGGGAGATGGTGGCAGGGTTTAAATAAAGTTGTTGTTGTTGTTGTTGTTGATATTTTTATAAATAAAAATGTAATGTTCATTTGTGGGATTAACACAACTCAAAAACCACTGGATGAATTGACACCAAATTTGGACACAAGACACCTAACAACCCAATGTATGTGCTTCACTGAAAAAAATTGATTTTGTCATTTGGGAGTTGTAGTTGCTGGGTTTTATAGTTCAACTACAATCAAAGAGCATTCTGAACTCCATCAACGATGGAATTGAACCACATTTGGCACACAGGACTCCCCTGACCAACAGAAAACACTAGAAGGGTTTGGTGGGCATTGACCTTGTGTTTGGGAGTTGTAGTTCCCCTACATCTAGAGACAGGGGCGGCTCAACCCATTACGCAAAGTAAGCATTTGCAGTATAGTTGATTTTGCCCAGAGGTGCTCTTGAGGCGCTCTTGGGGGAAAAAAGACCTTGACATATGCGAGTTGTAGTTACTGGGATGTATAGTTCACCTACAATCAAAGAGCATTCTGAACTCCACCAATGATGGAATTGAACCAAATATGGCACACAGAACTCCCACGATGAACAGAAAATATATATCTGTGAATGGTTGGGGGGGGGGCATGCCAAAATACTGTTTGCTTACCGTTGAAAATTATCTAGGGCAGTGGTTCTCAACCTGGGGTCCCCAGATGTTTTTGGCCTACAACTCCCAGAAATCTCATCCAGTTTACCAGCTGTTAGGATTTCTGGGAGTTGAAGGCCAAAAACATCTGGGGACCCCAGGTTGAGAACCACTGATCTAGGGCCACCTCTGTCTAGAGAGCACTGTGGACTCAAACAATGATGGATCTGGACCAAACTTGGCACGAATACTCAAATATACCAAATATAAACACAGATGGAGTTTGGGGGAAATAGACCTTGACATTTGAGAGTTGTAGTTACTGGGATTTATAGTTCACCTACAATCAAGGAGCATTCTGAACCCCACCAACGACAGAATTGGGGCAAATTTCCCACACAGAACCCTCATGACCAACAAAAAATACTGTGTTTTCTGGTGGTCTTTGGTGACCCTTCTGACACCCCTTCGCAGCCACCCCCCCCCCCCGGGGTCCCAAACCCCAGGTTGAGAAATGCTGCCTTAATGCCATCCAGTCCAACTCCTTTCACCAGGGCAAGAAAACATAATGAAAGCCCTCCTGACAAAGGGCCATCTAGCCATTCACACACACACACACCTATATGTATATGACAGATGCAGTATCAAAGATTTGAAAGGACTTGAAACGGTTCTGGCCTGACCTACCTGTCCGAACGCGTCTCCTCCTATGAACCAGTTAGGACATTAAGATCGTCTGGCGAGGCCCTGCTTTCGATCCCGCCAGCTTCACAAGCACGCCTGGCGGGGACGAGAGACAGGGCCTTCTCAGTGGTGGCCCCTTGGCTGTGGAACACCCTTCCTGCAGATATTAGATTGACCCCCTCCTTGCTGGCATTCCAGAGGAAAGTAAAGACCTGGCTGTTTGAACAGGCATTCGACTAAGCAGTGTGATTGATTGACTGACTATCGGAACACGGAATATCGGATAACGAGTTTGGATTCTGATTTCATTGATGAGACCTGATGGATTTGTTATATTGATGTAGTGATGTATTGATACTGATGTTTAATGATTTGTGATGCTATTGCTTTTAAATGCTTAATGATTTTGTATTGTGTATACCTAAATTGTTGTAAACCGCTCTGAGTCGCCTAAGTGCTGAGAAGAGTGGTATACAAATAAAGTAAATAAATAAATAAATAAATAAATAAAGGACCCCTAAAGTAGGACAATGATATGTTGCATGTCCCAGAGTAGCCAAACCAGACAATCTCCACACCAACTCTAGCAAAGAAACAGCAAGAAATACTGTTTACCCACAAGTATAAAGATATTACATATATTAGAAACCAACACTTTCTCATTACTTTATTTTCCAGATCACCAGACTGGGCCACAGCAACGCGTGGCAGGGGACCGCTAGTTATGACTAAAGGGTATTAAGTTGGCTTTCCAAGGGCTTTCCTTGGCGTGCTATGCGCGCGTGGATCGGTAGAGGGCGCGCAAGAGCAGAAAGAGCCCAGCGGTTCTGTCGGGCTCACTTTGGGAAGCGCATCGCCGGCGGAGCCATGGTGAAGATCGGGCTCACCCAGGCAGCGGAGGGGCTGAAGCCCACCAAGGAGGAGGAGGAGGAGGAGAAGGAGAAGGAGGGGGACGAGGAAGGGGCGCCCCCGTTACTGCCCAGCCATGCCATCAAGGCCGAATTGTGCTTGCCCCCGGACGGAGTGAGTAGCCAGAGAAGGAGGGAAAAGAGGGAGGCGTGGAGGTGCCCAGGATCGGTGCAAAGGAAGAAAGGGCGCGTCTACAATGTGGAATTAATGCACTTTGAACCCACTTTGACTGTCATGGCTCCAGGCTGTGAAATCGTGGGTGTTCCTGTTTTGCATGGTGACTCACCCAGCTGCAACTCCCACCATTCCAGAACATTGAGTGGTGTCAAAGTCAAATTGCTTTAGATCTACATTGTGATTCCCAAAGTTGGACCCTCCAGGTGTTTTGGACTTCAACTCCCACCATTCCTAACAGCCTCAGGCCCCTTCCTTTTCCCCCTCTGCCGCTTAAGCGGCAGAGGGGGAAAAGGAAGGGGCCTGAGGCTGTTAGGAATGGTGGGAGTTGAAGTCCAAAACATCTGGAAGACTAGTGTTTGGGAATCACTGGAAGAGCTTCCCAAACTCTCGCTCTCAGGGCCCTTCCAGACAGGACCTATATCCCAGGCTTTCTGCTTTGAACTGGATTATATGAGTCTGCACTGGGATAAACAGAAAACCTGGGATCAGATCCTGGGATGTAGGGCCTGTCTTGGAAGGGCCCTTAGCCTCAGAAGGAGGACGGAGAAATAGGTAGACTTGGGTCAAAGTTGGGTCAAAGGGCTTGCAATTGTGCTAAGACCTCTCCTTGATCAGAGTTTTATTCTTGGAGAGGGTACCATTCCTTTCCTGGATGACAGAAGGAATCCAAAAGTATCTATCAGCTCGCTCTCTTGCTCCAGTAGTGAATGGGAATTAGTATTTTTGGAGAGTCTCTAAGGGCCTTTCCACACCGCCTTATAACCCAGAATATCAAGGCAGAAAATCCCACAATATCTGCTTTGAACTGGGTTATCTGAGTCCACAATGCCATATATCCTAAAGTAGAAAATGTAGAATTTTATTCTAAGCAGAAAATGTAGTCTGTCCACAGATATATAAACCCATATTCCTAGTTCCAACAGACCTCACTACCTCTGAGGATGCTTGCCATAGATGCAAGTGAAACATCAGGAGAGAATGCCTCTAGAACATGGCCATATAGCCCGAAAAAAACTACAACCACCCAGTGATTCTGGCCATGAAAGCCTTCGACAATACAGAAAATGTAGAATTTTATTCAGCTGTGTGGAAGGGGCCTTTGTCTGTGTATCTTCTGCAACAGAGAATCATAGAGTCATAGAATGATAGCATTGGAAGAGACCTCATGGACCATCCAGTCCAACCTCCTGCCAAGAAGAGGAAAAACACATTCAAAGCACCCTTGGCAGATGTCCATACAGCCTCTGTCTGTGGCTGGCAGGCAAAGCTTCCAAAGAAGGAGCCTCCACCACACACCGGGGCAGAGAGTTCCACTGCTGAACAGCTCTTACAGTCAGGAAGTTCTTCGTCATGTTCAAGTGGAATCTCCTTTCCTGTAGTTTGGAGCCACTCTTCTGCATTCTAGTCTCCAGGACAGCAGAAAACAAGCTTGCTCCCTCCTCCCTTTGATTTCCCCTCACATATTTATACATGGCCATCATATCTCTTCCCAGCCTTCTCTTCTGAAGGCTAAACATGCTCAGCTCTTTAATCCGCTCCTCATAGGGCTTGTTCTCCAGACCCTTGGTTATTTTAGTCACCCTCCTCTGGACACATTCCATCTTGTTGACATCTCCCTTCAATGGCGGTGCCCAGAATTAGACACAGTATTCCAGATGTGGTCTGACCAAGGCAGAATAGAGGGGTAGCGCGACTTTTATTTATTTACTTTTATTATTTACTTTATTTGTATACCACTCTTCTCAGCCCTTAGGCGACTCAGAGCGGTTAACAACAACAGTTTCAATATACACAATACAAAATCATTCGACATTTAAAAGTAATAGCATAACAACTAATTAAACATCAAACATCAATACATCAATATAACAAATCCATCAGGTCTCGTCAATAGAATCAGAATCCAGTCTCATTATCCATTATTCCATGACTTCACTGAATCTAGACACTATACTCCTATTTACGCAGGCCAAAATCCCATTGGCTTTTTCGCTGCCACATCTCATTGTTGGCTCATGTTTAACTTGTTGTCCACGAGGACTCTGATATCTTTTTCACAGTCCTGTGGGCTGCTATAACAAACATTAGTATGCCAGGAGTGCTGGATATCTACACCAGTCACGTATATTATATGTCAACTGAAGTTTAGAGCATCCAGTTCATAGAATCATAGAATCATAGAGTCAAAAGAGACCTCATGGGCCATCCAGTCCAACCCCCTGCCAAGAAGCAGGAATATTGCATTCAAATCACCCCTGACAAATGGCCATCCAGCCTCTGCTTAAAAGCTTCCAAAGAAGGAGCCTCCACCACACTCCGGGGCAGAGAGGTCCACTGCTGAACGGCTCTCACAGTCAGGAAGTTCTTCCTAATGTTCAGATGGAATCTCCTCTCTTGTAGTTTGAAGCCATTGTTCCGCGTCCTAGTCTCCAAGGAAGCAGAAAACAAGCTTGCTCCCTCCTCCCTGTGGCTTCCCCTCACATATTTATACATGGCTATCATATCTCCTCTCAGCCTTCTCTTCTTCAGGCTACTTGCTACTTACTTACTTACTTAGGCGATCCCTCGTTGGACGAGTAAGATGGTCTTCCATTATGGATTTCCTTGTGGGTCCGTATGTGGCTGTGGAGCCCTATTCTTGCTCTGCATCTTCTTCCGCAGTGAGGGCATTGGTTTCCAGGTGGAAGGCGGTCCCGGTCGGGGTTGGCTTGACGCGCCTTCCTCCTGGCACGTTTCTCTCTTTCACCCTCCACTCGTGCCTCCTCAAATTCTGCAGCACTGCTGGTCACAGCTGTCCTCCAGCTGGAACGCTCAAGGGCCAGGGCTTCCCAGTTCTCAGTGTCTATGCCAGAGTTTTTAAGGTTGGCTTTGAGCCCATCTTTAAATCTCTTTTCCTGTCCACCAACGTTCCGTTTTCCATTCTTAAGTTCAGAGTAGAGCAACTGCTTTGGGAGACGGTGGTCAGGCATCCGGACAACGTGGCCGGCCCAGCGGAGTTGATGATGGAGGACCATCGCTTCAATGCTGGTGGTCTTTGCTTCTTCCAGCACACTGACGTTTGTCCGCTTGTCTTCCCAGGAGATTTGCAGGATTTTCCGGAGGCAGCGCTGATGGAAACGTTCAGGAGCTGCATGTGACGTCTGTAGACAGTCCACGTCTCACAGGCATATAGCAGGGTTGGGAGGACAATAGCTTTATAGACAAGCACCTTGGTCTCCCTACGGATGTCCCGGTCCTCAAACACTCTCTGCTTCATTCTGGAAAATGCTGCACTTGCAGAGCTCAGGCGGTGTTGTATTTCGGCGTCGATGTTGACTTTGGTGGAGAGGTGGCTGCCAAGATAGCGGAAATGGTCCACATTTTCTAATGTGACACCATTAAGCTGTATTACTGGCATTGGAGAGGGATTGGCTGGCGACTGCTGGAACAGCATCTTGGTTTTCTCAATGTTCAGTGACAGGCCGAGCTTCTCATATGCATGCCCAGTTCCCTAAGCCGCTCCTCATAGGGCTTGTTCTCCAGACCCTTGATCAATTTAGTCGCCCTCCTCTGGACACATTCCAGCTTGTCAATATCTCTCTTGAATTGTGGTGCCCAGAATTGGACACAATATTCCAGTGTGGTCTAACCAAAGCAGAATAGAGGGGTAGCATTACTTCCTTAGATCTAGACACTATGCTCCTATTGATGCTAGGCCAAAATCCCATTGGCTTTTTTTGCCGCCACATCACATTGTTGGCTCATGTTTAACTTGTTGTCCACGAGGACTCCAAGATCTTTTTCACACGTACTGCTCTCGAGCCAGGCATCGTCCCCCATTCTGTATCTTTGCATTTCATTTTTTCTGCCTAAGTGGAGTATCTTGCATTTGTCACTGTTGAACTTCATTTTGTTAGTTTTGGCCCATCTCTCTAATCTGTCAAGATCGTTTTGAATTCTGCTCCTGTCCTCTGGACTATTGGCTATCCCTCCCAATTTTGTGTCGTCTGCAAACTTGATGATCATGCCTTCTAGCCCTTCATCTAAGTCATTAATAAAGATGTTGAACAGGACAGGACAGAAGGACAGAACCCTGCGGCACTCCACTTGTCACTTCTTTCCAGGATGAAGAGGAAGCATTGGTGAGCACCCTCTGGGTTCGTCCACTTAACCAATTACAGATCCACCTCACCGTAGTTTTGCCTAGCCCACATTGGACTAGTTTCCTTGCCAGAAGGTCATGGGGGACCTTGTCGAAGGCCTTACTGAAATCCAGGTACGCTACATCCATGGCATTCCCCACATCTACCCAGCTTGTAGCTCTATCGAAGAAAGAGATCAGATTAGTCTGGCATGACTTGTTTTTGATAAATCCATGTTGACTATTAGCGATGACTGCATTTGTTTCTAAGTGTTTGCAGACCGCTTCCTTAACAATCTTTTCCAGAATCTTGCCCGGTATCGACGTGAGGCTGACCGGACGGTAGTTGTTTGGGTCATCCTTTTTTCCCTTCTTGAAGATTGGGACCACATTGGCCCTCCTCCAATCTGCTGGAACTTCTCCCGTTCTCCAAGAACTCTCAAAGATGGTTGCCAATGGTTCCGAAATGACTTCCGCTAGTTCCTTCAATACTCTGGGGTGTAGTTGATCTGGCCCTGGGGACTTGAACTCATTAAGAGCGGCCAGGTATTCCTGGACGACTTCTTTCCCAATTTGGGGTTGGATGTCCTCCAATCCCTCATCCACTCCATCTTGCTGAGGTTGAAGACTCTCTTTTTGTGAGAAGACCGAGGGCAAAGAAGGCATTAAGTAGTTCTGCCTTTTCCCTATCCCCTGTCAGCATTGCCCATCTTCTCCTCGAAGAGGTCCTATCGCCTCCTTGTTTTTCCTTTTTCTACTGACATAAGAATAGAAGCCCTTTTTATTGTTTTTAATGTCCCTGGCAAGTCTGAGCTCG